CACAGTTGAAACTGCCTGCAATAAGGAATCAAACCCTTAGGATCAAACATCACAAAGGCTGACATGTATACAATTAAGATTGGAATTTGTGCTTTGGCACCTATTTTTAGCTGATTTTTAAGGTCGGGATCTTAGATCTGTCATTACCTTAGTAAATGGTTTCTCTTTGGCACATACATGTTGTTTTAAGGAGAAGAGTCATGTGTGGCTCTTTAGTGTTCCTACTCGAGTATTCTCAGCTGTGCTGCAGGAATTCTAGCCTTCTGTGAGATGTATCAGCTGTCATTCCCCCCCCTTTTGGTTTGTGGTCAAGCATCTGTCACCAGGAAATGTAAAATGAAGAAAAGAACTGGAAAATGCTATAGGAAGTAAATACATGCGGGGAGAACCGCATGTGTGTGTGTGTATCTATGTGTGTGTGTGTATAATGAAAGAATCCCAAGTGCCAAAAATGCTGCTAGTAGTGGGTTACCAATAATCCTGTAGGTGATGAAGCTGTTAGGATTGTGGAAGTTAGTGTTCACAAGTTCCATTTCTTCACAAGATTGTGATTTAAGGATGAGGGGTTCTCAGAAGCCAGTGTACCAAATGAAACCATTGGTTTTGAGTATTATTGGTGCCAGGTAAAGGTAGAGTGCTTGGAGACAGTATTTGAACAGTCTTGCTAACTTTGTTATGCTAGTGGCCAGTGGATTTGATTATATTGCTTTGGACTGGTTGTAAAATTGCTTTAATGCTGCTCATATCTCCCCTTATTATTTATGAGAGTGCTCTTTTTCTGCAGCCTACAAAGCTGGATGGCAAAAAAATGTTGGACACCTTAAGCTACCTGCCCTGAACATGGCATTCTTCCAGAACAAAAGAACAAACTTTCAGTGGTATCTTTAATTTACCTTCTTCCACCTCAGCCCTAGAGTTGAGGGCAACCCATCCAGCCTTGACTTGACTGCGTTTTATAGTACTAACTTTTTTAGGTATTTGGAGTAAAATCATGGCTTGGTTGAAATCAGTAGTATATATCCCACAAACTTCAGCAGGGCCAGGAAGTTAATGGGGCCAGAATTTCACCCCTGAACTCCAAAATTGACTTGGCAAAGCAAATTCTGGAGAGACAGAGAACAGAAGGTTAATATACTACTCTTTCTGTTTGACATACATATCCAAACATTTATAAAAGCCCATTCTGAAGCTCTTTTCCAGCTATTCATGTTCTTCAATCACATAGTTTATGCATAATGAGTATAAGTGGATGAACATTTGTTACGCAGATATTTAAAAAATTGGACATCTGTATCTGTCTTAGCAGCTAAAAGCATTATTCATAGAATCACATAAGTTAGAAATGGAAAATACCTATTAGGTAATCTAATTCAACCCATTACCAGTGTGGATTTTTTTCCTGTTACATATTTTCTAGTTTTAATGGGCAGCGTTGACCAAACAATTCTTTATATGGTGGTAGAAATATTTCACCACATACCTGAAGAACCAAAGAATTTCCACTCACAGTTAAGCATTTGGAGTTCTGTCTTGTTAATCTAACTGGTTTCTCAAATGGCTCTTGGTAGAAATTGAAGATTCAGAAGTCTTTCTCCAGTTTCTGCATGGCTTGTTCCACCACAGGCAAAGGAGACAAGGGGCTCAGAAAACAGTATTTTACTCGGAGCGTTTTCCTACTAAACTCCAGTGTGTTGGTGTTCTTTTTCTCTTTACCCTGTGTCTATGTTAATCTCTTCCCAGTGATCTGAACTTCAGGCTCCATCTGAAATAATGTGTACTGGCCTGACAGGTGCTGTCATGGCCTGGCAGCACCACTATTTCCAGGGCTCTCATTCCTACATCTGTTGAATCATCTTCCTCAATATCTGTTTTTCCTTTGATTCTGTTCAATAAGTAGAAGAAAATGGTAGGATATTTTAATTCTTTATTCAGTCAGATTTTTAGTTTTATCTTTATCGCACCAATGTAAACCTGGAGTATTTCAGCAGAAGGCAATGAATTGCATAAAAGGGATACA